TTCTGATTTATTTATTATTTACTTTAAATTGTTGAAATTAAACAAGAAATTTCAAAAATGCATATCTTTAACTTGACTTTTACATTTTTAATATTACAATATAACATCAAACCTAAAATATTATTATTTAATTTACAGTGTGAGACAAAAACTAATCTTAATATGTTAAAAGTGTGCATAACATTACAAATAAATCATAAACTGTGAAAAAGCTGAATTAAATAAATTAAAAATGGCATCCCATTTTGCAAATATGTTCGGCCAATTCGGCCAATATACTAAAAATAGTATATATAGTAATGGAACTAAAGAAGTGATAGAAAATTCTATTAATAAATTGAATGAGAATTCCAATTGTAAAAACCAAGTGAATGATACAACTAGTTCCAGTAGTAAACCTCTGAAATTGAAAAATGTCAGCAGCAAAGCCGAGTGTTATGATACTTTTACACACAAAGGCATCAATGGTGAGTAGATAATACTAAAGTAATCATTTATTCTTTGTTTGTTTGCTTTCAATATTTTAGAATAAATTTATAATGTATTTATAAATTGATTAATATTTAATATGATATTTTAAGTTGAATCTAATAATGTTTTATCATAGACTATTTCACTATAGAGACTTTTTATCTCTTCATCCATTTAGCTACTTTTACCAAATGCAATATCACACAAAATTATTTAAATCACACAAAATTATTCATCTAAATCAATTATTCTAATAATATATCATTATGTCTTATGAACATCATACTAAAATCTTCGATATTAGACTTTCAATAACTCAATGAAGACATGCTATGATTTGGAAAATACTATGTCTACAAAATTGTTATATTTTGTTTGGTTTCAATAGACAGTAAAATAAAAATAGTGCATACAGAAGTAAATTAAGTTAAAAAAGCAATTTCACAAAATATGAATCACAAATCAAAGTTATATATAGTATTATATATCTCTATACTGTCACAAAATGAACCCATGAATGTTATATTTTGCATCGGTTGAATAATGTAGCTATCATTTTATAAAATCCCTTTAAAATTAAAAATAAACTAGTTGGTTTGGTATTACGCAAGTTACATGAACTTCCCGATATATTTAAATAATCGACTTAACCAATAAAAAATAAATTAATTTATGAGTCATTAAAAGTATTCCAAGTGGATTTATTACACATAACTGAAAACGAACGAACACTTTGACTCTGAGTATTTTCTAAAAGCAAAATTTCAAAAATCAAAAATTTTTATAATTGAGCCAGTTTTTTGTAGTACTTTAATTGTTTAGTATGTTCATTAGGACCAAATACTCTATCGTTATACCAAGTAAACAGTCTAATTTTAATTTTTAACAAACGTCAAAAAACAACTCATTTTCTAAAATTTTGATGAATTTTTAAAATTAAACTGCCTGTCGTAATATTTCAGTAAGTTCTATAAGACCATGGTATATAGCGCTAAAAAAAATCCATAAAAATCGGCTTAAATTTTTTTTCCACAGTTAATTACAAGAAAATGGCTCGGTAGATTTTCACCTAAAACTAATCAGTACCATTCCCAACTAATATCTTTCGAACAGTTTTTTGATTTTTTAAAATCGGTTTTTGGAGGATGAGCTTAAATGTGGACGAAAATTTAACACTTTTTTTCAAATTACAAAGAATCGGCTTGGCAGATCGTCGCACAAAACTGACAAACGATAGTCCTCACCAAATACATCAAATGGCTTTTAAACTTCTGAAATCGGTCAGGCGTTTTTTGAGAAAAACGTCGATCAAGGGTCTAATTTTGTCAAATGCTAAAAAAACGATAC